TGAACAGGAATGATCTCGTGTCACTGCTTTTCTACCTGGAAAGCCTTGAATTCTCTTCAGATAACTGTTTCAAGCAAAAGCTCCCCTGGAGACTCTCCATGAAGCCCTCAGGTGTAGGCCTTCTCCCGTGTGCTCCCACGGTACCTGCTGCGTATGCTGCTGGGGCCCTCTCCCCACTTCTCACTGTGCATACAGTGGATCCCTCACAGGCAGGAGCTGTGCTGTGTGGGGGCTTGCACTGCCCCAGGACCCGGGACACTGCAGAATGCTCTGCCCTAGGTACCTGTGCAGCACAGGTAGTGGATGCAAACAGCTGCTAGTTCTCTGTTTCATTGATTATTTCAACTTTGGAAAGCTATGGGAAAGCATTATTCATGAAGATCTAAATTAATGAGTGTGTTTTGTGTGTAGACTGAACAGGACACATTGCTGAGGAAGTGTTCTTCCCAGTGGTAACAACTATTTCCTAATTCAAGACAAAAGTTCCTCATATCACTAACAAAGTAAAGTTCTGACATACGTATTTACATATTTAAAATTTCTCTTTCATTTTACTTGTCAACCTGAACGAACATGTCAGGTAACATTCATTTCAAGCCGTGCCTGTCCCCCAGTAACATGGACGTCTTCTCTGCTGAGTTAGGCAGTGGTCACGTATTCATGTGTGTTATGTTTTACTGTTATGTCATGTGTTGTTATAAAAAGTTACAGTGTATTTTGCAAAAATCAATAAGTCACACCGAAGCTATATGTGAGTAGAATTTATAATAAATTCTATATTTTGTTCATAAATTATATGCTTGTAATGTATTTATAATTTCTTTACAGCAGAAATTCCTAAGTATTTGCCAAAACACCACTGGGTAGGAACATTACAAAGAGAGGATTCATGTCTTAATCTTAGACATAGTAGGTAATTTTGTGGTTAGTGTAAAGTCTGATGAATTACTGTTATTTTAAAGTTATGTGTAAAATCAGTATTATACAGTGTTTTCCCCTCTATTTCCAGTTTTATTCTGTACTACAACCCCTTCACTTTGGCATAGGAATTATAGTCCAAGAATGAGTATTTACATCAAAAGAACCTCTTCAACATGAAAACTAGTAGGCATACTAAAGAAGAGAAATCTATTTTCCAAAGTAGAGTTGAAAAAGACGAGCTGTGTCCAGCTGTGTCTGTAGACATGTATCTGTTGCGTGTGCTGCTTTGTGCCATACTGAGATTTATGAGGTCATCTATAATTCAGAGGAAAGTATAAGGAGCTTTCTTCTTTGTTAGTGCTCAGACCTTCAATTTAGGCCCATATTGGACACGTGGCAAGTTGTGAGGGACTAAGCAAAGATCCAGAAAGTAGCCAAAGGACCTTTCAAAATTCAGTTCCAAGAGCATAAAAGTAAAGAATTAATAATTCTGCAAAAATAAAAAGATATCCTAGAGATAAGAGGTATTCTCTAGGACCAAGTTCCGGAAAAGAACAAATCTTAAATCCCAGGGTATTTTTGTTTGCGGTAGGCATCAAATCATCTATCTACAGTCAGAAAAAAAGAGTCAAAGACGGTAATTGTTTCAGGAGGTTTTGCTGTATCTGAGACATCAGATGTCCTCTTCATACGCTGCGGAGCTGGACACGGAGACCCCTGACGACTGAAAGCCACTTCTGGAAGCTTCTGATTGACATTCCATCGTCGGAATGACATGGAGCCGCCCAGCGCAAATTCACACGTGCGTGCCTCTCACTAGCTGAGTTCTAACTGAGAAGGGGGTGAAGTCGCTGCAGAGTCTCAGGGAGACCGAGGTCAAGAGGAGGTGTGCAGCTCAGGGCCTGCGGCAGGAATCCTGGGGCCCACCCGGTGCTGACCGGTGGGGTGGTGGATCCCAGCACGTGGGGTCTGGCGCCTCGGAAATCCTGGCTGGGCCGCAGGGTCTGGGTCCGGAGGAGCCCTGAGGATCCGAGGCGGGGGCCTGCCGGACAGCACCGGGATCCTTTCCACCCTCCACTGCCGAATGCCTGCTGAGCGCGCGTAGGGACTGGAGTTAAATGTCTCATAGAACGACTGGAAGACGGATTTATATAATTTTTTATAAAGTAGAATAAAAATAAAAGGAATCACACAGGACGAAGAGATAAAATGAATGTGCTGATCCAGAAGACCCAACCTCTCAGTAAGAGGACCCGAAAGGGGAAAGAAGACCCAAGACTTCCCATGCCCAAGGGCATAAACCTCGGGTTGAAAAGGGCTCCTTGAGCACCCAGCAAAGAGAATGAAAGAGGCTCGGTCACAGCACTGTGCGGGTCGAACGCTACACACAATGGAGTCTCATTAGCAGAGGAGAGGAACGGAGTCCCGCGTGAGCGGCAAGTCCATGGAAGGGGGCACTCTATGTTCAGGGAAGGAGGCACACACGGTCCTCAGTCATATGGGCGCGCTGGCGAGTCCAGAGCCGAGAGCAGGAGGCGCCCGTCTACGGAAGATGGCGGTGTCAGAACAGAGCATGAAGGGGCTGAATTCAGGCAGTGCCTGTGTCTGCAGCTGAAACTCACTACTGTGCGAATTGGTGCTTGTTAATCAAAAATAAAATGCACAAATAGTATAACCACAAAAATTATGAGAATTCGGAAAATGAGACAAAAGAAACAAAACAAATCTAGGTTAAGCAACATGCAACAGTTCAAAAGCATTGGGCCAAAGCTCACAATTTCCTGATTGAAAATAATCTTTGACCTTAAGGTTTTTTTTTAAAGAAAAATTTATATGCCATAGCATACACACATATATATACACATGTGTGTGTGTGTGTGTGTGTGTGTGTGTGTGTGTGTGTCAAGAGCTGGCGAATCTAGGTGAAGGACAGATGAGCTTTCATTATACTATTATTCAAAAACATCTGCACAATTGAAAATTTTCACCCCCCCCCGGAAAAAAACCTGCAGTGGGTAGGACAGGGAGTGTAAAGCCACACAAGGGAAAAGGGAAAACCCTCTTGGTGGAGATTACTGAAAGAAGTGTTTCAGCACGAGCTGAGATTGGGAAAAGGTGAAATCTGCTGGGAGAGAGAATTGAAGAGGCCTCAGGAACCCGTCTGCCGTCGGCCTGGGTGTCCACACTGGGGCCAGCGGGCAGCGGAGCGCGTTTAGGGGCAGGGCCCGTGTGGCTCCACCACCAGAGGGCTCTGAGTATTTGTAAAGATCCCCATTCCATACGAACATGGCTGACATAAAACAGCCAATTGTAAAATAAGTAGAAAACCAAGAAAATAAAAAGTTAATGACCAATTATTAACTTTAGAGAACTTAAATATAAATGAAAATAATAGAATTGTATTATGTGGTAACTTGATAAAATTGCAGTATGTAGTAATTTTGCTATTTAATCAATAATAATTATGTATTATTACCTAATAATAATGGCACTGTCTATATTTAACAAAAATATGATGAAAGTATATCAGAAAGGTAGGACTGTGAGAAATTTGGGGAGCAATCTATAATTGAACTAAATCTTAACCTGAATAGAAAATAGTTGAAACTCATGTCAAAACACAAATTAATAACACAAAAATGCTACATGAATAAATGTAAAGACTAAAGGTGAAGTGCTGGCTTAGGAAGAACACAAGAAGTTACTATTTTTGTTCATGAAAACTTTAATATGGTTTTAAATAATTAGTGTGTAAATCTTATAAATCTTAAAATTTATGAAGAATCTTTTATAAGTTCTATTGTAAAGGTAATATTAGAATATTTAAGTTTTTAAAAATCTGAGTATTCAATATCAAATGGAGGAACTAACCCATACCACAGAGCTAAAAGTATGGCAAAGTGCAAATCATGAATTTAAAAATGAAAAAAAATGGAATTCAGAAAATGTCATATGTACATAATAGCTTTGTGTAAAGGGCAAGCCAGGCAGGGCAAAAAAATTAATTTTAAAATTTTAAAAACTGTCTAAATTGATTAAAAATTTATGTTTTAGATTAAAAGGGTATAAAATTTTAGCCAAGATAAATGGGAAAATTTATATATCTCAACATTTTCTATTTGGACTCTGGCATAAGACAAAAAAAAAAAAGATGTATTAACCTCCAGGCTGAAAGGAAAGAATAAGGCGGCTGGTAGGAATGGGACAAGTGAGTCAGAAACCCAGAAGGAAAGCCAAAGGTTTTCCAGCGGTAAGGAGGGACCAAGATGGGCGGAAAGGTTTTAAAGTCAATGACCAGGGAGGAAAAACCCAAGCCAACACAGAGTGAGGATGAGGGAGCGGGAGGGGTGGGTCGCCGATGGGCCCCAGTGCAGTAACGACCTACGTTCATTTGGTTACTGTAACTTAGGTGATCAGACTCAGCGCAGAACGCTAGTTGATTATAAGGATTTAAAAACCGTAACTCATGCAACAAAATAAAAGCCTTGTGTCATTCCTTCCTGTGCTTTTTCCATTTATTTAATTATCTATTTTATCAACAATTACTTGAGCCAGGCATGGTGACACACGCCTGTGATCCCAGAACAGAGGAGGCTGAGGCAGGAGGATCAGCACAAGTTCAAGGCCAGTGTGGGCTACATAATGAGATCAGGGCCAGCCTGAACTACAAAGTGAGACCCTGCCTAAAAAAATGAGAAAATAAATAAACAAATACTCCACTGTTTTCTTCCTGAAAGTTCTGCACAATTTAAGGACCCGGTGCTCTGTTTTGTACCTTCACTGTGGTGATTGTTAGTGGAGAAAAACCCTCCCAGTGGGGTTGTAACAAAAACATTGGTACCGTTACGCTGTCCCGAAGTTGTTCTATTTTGAATTTCTTAATGTCAGAGCAAGTATTGCTACCTGTTTGATGAATAAACATTAGTACTTGACCCGCATCATGTCACTCGCAGTTACGTGGAATTTTAGTCTAGTGAAACGTGGTGGGACCTAAGCAAGGTCGAGCGTGTGGAGCCTCAGACCAAGGCCGCATTGCCGGACCGGACCGTGGTGACCCGCCTGTCTCCGTTTCCCCGCAGGGCTACGACGACGGCCACGGAGGGGACTACGAGGAGCAGAGCTACGAGGCCTACGACAGCGGCTACGCTGCGCAGACCCCAGGGTGAGTCGCTTCCCAGGCCCTGTCGGGCCCTGTGCCGGGCTTCGGGCAGTGGGGGTTCCCTGCTACCTTTGTAAACTCTGAACCTGCTGCTAGACCACGAGGGGTAGCGCAGAGTAACCTGCAAGTGCGAACGCGGACACATACACAGGACGTGCTGACTGTGTGATCGTCGAAACTTCGTGAGTGGGTCTTGTTTCCACCAACCGAAGGCTAAGTTTAGACTTGGACTGTTCCTGCGTTTTCGCTATTATGAGTAACATTGGTATAAAACAAACCCAGTTTTATAAATTCAGTCACCTAAATGCTTTTTTTGTCTTTGTATCTTTTCAAAGAAAATTTTATTGATACGCTGTTTTAATTCATTAATTGGTGCGTTTTGGGTGTGCAGTATGATGGCATCACTGGGACCTTGCACCTTTACATAATCCATCTTGGTTCTCATTTTCCCCATCCCTGCCCTCCCTCCACCTGCTCTTTGTTTCCATTGTTTCCTTTTGTCTTATTAATTTCATTCCCTTCCTTCCTTTCCCCTGTCCCTCCCATTTCTTCCACTTTGGACCTTTTCTTCTTATTTCGAATGATCTATGATACATTTTTATTTTTATTTTTATTTCACTTTCAGCTTTCACACCAGAGAAACCAGTCAGTAGTTACCCATGAGCGTCCTGTTTATTTCACTTGATATACATAACGCTCACATTCATCATGGGCAATCTGTACCTGTACGTAACATGCTTGATTCTTCTCATAGAAAATAGAGGCGACCTACAGAATAGTTAAGTAGTTCTCTCTTTACATGACAGACAGGAGTTTGTAGAAGTAACTGTCCAGAATCTCTGTAGCACTAATCATTCAGGGACCGATCTTGCTAGCACCCAGGCAGACTGGAGTCACAAGCCTCCTTTAGGGTTATCAAATAAGATGTGGGAGAGGAGGGTGCCAAACAAAGGAGCAACTTTAAGGTCGTTCTGACCCAAAGAAGGCTGTGGGTGCAGCCTGAGGGGACCCCACCTGGAGAAAATGCTGCAGCAGTTAAGGAAGCTATGAGCAAGCATGCACAGATGCCTTCGCGCTGAGTGTGACTTTGTGCTGCACTAGGGCGAGGTCCTCTTCAACAGCAGGGGTCCAGTTGATTCTTAGTGGGTTCATTAGCAAAGTGACCATGAGCCGAGCTCCTGCTGCGAGGACCGAATCAGTCGTCCCAGTGACTGGCTGGACACAGCAAGTATCAGAGCATCTCATGCAGATTGGCCACGCATTTAGGACACCAGCAGCATTTTCACATTGGTAGTAAATCACTGCACACTGGTGCCCACAAGTAGTGGTGCTAAAGTTCTGTGTCCCTGTGCATAGGAAATATAACAACACTGCTAGCTTGACCAGGACAGGCTAAGATACTTCCTTGATCTACCTCAGTACAGCTGCGTTTTGATCAAGGAGGTTTCAAGATGATGGTTTTTCTGTGTCTGCCTTATGGTAAGGTTTAAATAGGTACAACTGACCTTTAGAGACAGGAAGAACAAAAGTAGAGGAGGTGCATGACTAAGTGAATATTTGAAAAGCAGTTACTAGAGTTATTGAATAAACGTGTGTGTCAAAATTAAAGGTAATAAAGAGTAACCGGGAAGAGCGTGTTATCTTCTCCCATGAAGTGCGGTTCTATGCAAAGCAGCGTTGTCTAGCACTCCCCAGCTTTCTGTCCCCCTGCTCTGTCCTCTTCCCTCTCCCTGGCTGCATTTTCCCCATTCTTCCAGCACATAATCGAGGTCTCCCACAAGGTCTTTCTTGGCCCTCTAATTGGGGTACCAGCTTCAGCCCTGCACTCCATACCTCCCGATGTCTCCTTTTCTAAAGATTCTTTTCCTGCCTCACACTGGGGTGACTTCTGTAGCCTCATCTGCCTTAAGTGTCAGGCACTGGGTCTCTCATTCATATGCTGACCGGTGATTGTGGATACCTAAGACGTCAGGCCCAGTGTTTTCTGCTCTATGGGAACACAAAATAAGATCTTCCTGCCTAAGAAAGAACACAAAATTCAGGATTACCATGCATGTATCATACTTACTGAGAAAAATGTATGTGTTTCTCAGATGATTTAATGTTAAAACAGAAGTGATGAATAAAACCAGGTCATGGAGTTAATAGCAAACATACCCATGTTTAGAACGGCACAGTTTATAACAGCTAAAACTTGGAGACAGCACAATTGCCTGGATAAAGAAGATGTGGTTTTTAATCTATCTATCTATCTATCTATCTATCTATCATCTATATATATAATGGAGTACTACTCAGCCATAAAGAATGAAAAACTAGAGAAATTTATAGCTAAGTGGATGCATATTGAGGCCATATGCTTAAGTGAAAGTAATAAGACACACGTGTGTAAATGCCAAATTGTTTCTCTGATGTGAAAAACTAACAGTGTAAATAATGGTCAAAATGTATTAATTGATGTGTGTAATAGGAACAAAAGTTATAAAAGAGTAGAAGAAGTGGGAGGGGTAGGGGAAAGGTAAAAAGGGAAAAGGAAAAATATGAGAAAAGGAAAAACATGGAAACAAAGTCTTCGTAAACAGGGAAGGGTGGAGGGGGTGAAGGGAGGGCTGGAGAGTGGGGAAAAATAAGAACCAAGATCCGTCATGTAGAGGTGCAAGATCCCAGTGATGAATGGAACTGTACTGTGTACCTAAAATGTACCAGTAAACTTAATAAAGATAAAAAATAAATGTGTCCTAAATTCTAATAATTATGAAATTTTTACCTGGGTCAAAAGCATACCTACATTATTAATACAGTGTCTCAAACTCTAGCTGTTCTACATAAATGCTATTCAGTACATGGATTAAAAATAAATAAGCCAGGAGTGGTGGCATATGCCTGCAATCCCAGCACTCAGGACACTGAGGCAGGAAGATTGATTGCCAGGGTTCAAGGCTAGCCTGAGCTACATAGGGAGACCTTGTCTCCCAATAAATAAATAAGTAAATAAATAAATGTATTGTGAATGTACTGTATTTCAGAAAACTCTATATGGAAGAATTTATAATGCAGTGCAGATTGTAATAAAAATGTACACATGCCAAAGCATCTCCTAGGTAACTTATTAAGTCCCTCCCATTAGGTTCCTCAGTCTGACTGTGTCGGCTGAAGGTTAGATCAGCAGGTCCGTTAGGAGGCTCGCGCCTGTAGTTCCTTTGCTCTGGAGACTACAGCAGGATCCTCAGTTGCAACCCGGCCTGGGCAACTTAGCAACATGGAGCCTCTAAGCAAATGAACGAAGAAGGGCTGAGGATGGAGCTCAGTGGGGAGGCCCTGTGTTTAACTTGCACAGCTGCAAAGGAAAAGAAAGGAAAGAAGAAAAAGCAGAGAGAGTCAGCTTTCCTCTCTCTGCATCGTGCGTACTAAACAAGCACTTATTAAATGAAATTTCTTATTTTCTAACTTTAATATATTTTATATTTTTCTAATAATTTGTTTGAAGAGTTATTAGCAGACTCTTTGAATATGTTATGTATCTTCTCATCAATATTTATTTTCTCATATTTAAATAAAGTCAAATAGAGGGCAATGAAAGAGAGAGAAAGTTCATTCTCCATCAGTGTCGCTCCAGATTTCTTTTCAAGTGATGGCTCTTTAGTTGGACTTTAAAGTATAAGATTTGAATTTATGGAGGAAAATGTTCCTAAAGAAGTAAAAGGAAGAGAAATACATGAGCATCAAATTTCTCCTGAACTTATAAACCCCTTGAACATTATTTTGGCCAAGAATATCAATATTACTGACCTGTGGCGCTCCAAGTCAGGAGAAAATTTGGTTTAAAATCTGGGATGAGAGGATGGAAGATGTGAGGCTTAGGCCGAGGGATGACAACTGCAGGCTCCGGCTCTGAGTGCCAGCCGGTGCGCGAGCGCAGGACTGGTGGGAGCATGCAGGGGCGCCGGAGACCGCTCTGGGCACTGATTCCACCGCCTCACCCCAGACTGCGGAGCAAGTCTGCCAGGTGACAGCCCTCCGAGGCTCACCTGGAGTTCAGAAGCTGCAACAACTTCATTGATCCCCGTTGTTTTGTAAGGCATCATTAGTTCTGGGAGAATTCCAATGGATCAGAAGGGTACTTCGCTGAAGATTACTCAGGAGGCACTTAACTGAGTGACATCAGAGTGATTGGCAAAGACGATAATACAGGCAATTTCCAACCGTCCCTCTCCCTGGCTGTGCCTCTATCAGAAGAAAAATAAAGAACTAGATTGATAAGTTTATTACCCTGGCTTCAAACTGTAGCACTCTTGCTTTTCCAGGAATTCACATCCTTGAAGTTTTGACTTGCAACAAGTTCCACCTGATCAGTAACACCTTTAATTGGACCAAATTCTGTCATGTTCTCATGCTTATGTATCCCTCAAAGACATTAACGTTTTCAGAGAACAACCTGAAATCATGGCATTGCACAAGATTTTGAGAAAACTGATGCCTAAATGTTAAGCAAGAATTGGTAACAAATCAAACATTTAGGAAAATCTATGATGGGAAAAATTTATTTTTATTTTGCTTAAATACAATTCTGATATTACAAATGATAGTCAAAAGATCAGTTCTGGATCTTTGACTCTAATAGTAAAGTAACTTAATTTGGACATGAAGTGTTAACAACTTACAATTTTCCAGTATAAGTTGTTAAACTGAAGGTTGATGCAATAGGCAAAACATCAAAATAAAAACCTTTGTTTTCCTTGAACCATGAATCAAAAGAGAACCCATACAACCTAGGAAAAAGTCCTCTTTGTAGATTAATGAGGAAATGTGCTGGGAAAACACAAATGTGTCTCCCCCTGAACTATACAGCAATAATTTTCAACGTTTTCTTTTCTGAATATCTGTAATTATTAGTGCTTCTGTTCTAGAAAGGGAAAATGGGACCCAAGTCAGGATAATATGAGGAGAGTTTAAAAAGGGAATTATATTCACTAGCAGAATACTGCAACAAGCAATTCGGGCGC